GCAAAGTGGAACGAACATTATCAAGTCTCACACTTGCTATCCCCCCCCAAATCCCACTGGAATTCATCTTTCAAGTTACAAGAAATGCAGTTACAGTCGATACAAGTTACTTAGGAATGAGCATTTGGTTATTTGGGAATGACAAAGGAGGCTTCATTTTTAATGTTCATAAGTCATCCAAATTAATTAGCGCTTCAAAATGGCAATGAATCACTTCCCAAAATAATTTGTATTGGCTAAATTAATTCCAGTGAAGGGAGCCAATTTGCTGATTGTAAATTATCAGAGTCCCTGACTAGCTCCTGTGTACGTTGTGTACCACTTATTAGGCTACTGGGAAACAAAGGATGGCTACTTCTCATCAGTGAACAAGATTACAGCCCCATTAAGTGACCAGCTTACTGCGGTACAATTATAGGTTTCTATTTAAAATATTCAAGCCAGACATCATTAGGAAACAAAGCTGAATGTTCAGAAGAAAGGAAAAATAAATGGAAGAAAAGCTTGTTTTCCGAAGAGATGCACCAAAAACCTGTTTGAAGGGAGTATTTCCATCATCTTAAATTAACAAAGAGAAGTTCAGAGGCGCAAGACTAATCACAAAGATACTTCCATCATATGACAGCGCCTAAAGGCAACCTGAAGCCTGGAGTCCCAGCGCCTGCTTCTCTCACCCCCGGCTAGATGATTGTTTCCAGACTCCCCTAAATTAAAATGACTTCTGAAGAGTGACAACGAGGTGAGAAAACACACTGGCAGCTTTCTGCTCTCCCCCCTCATGCTGAGGAGATGCTTTCACAGCGCTGCCATGCCACTGCTCCAAGATCCTTCCTCCCCAGCGCCTGGACACCTCTGCATCCATCCAGCATGGACCACCACCTGCCTAAAGTCTGCAGCACCGGTCTCAGATTTCCCTTCCTTACCCCTCTAAAAGGAAAAAAACCCAAATCAATATATATATAAATAAAGCTTTACCTAAGCTAATTTGCATGGTATTCTCCCACTCTTATCTGCATCTCACCGATATCAAAGCCTCGATATTTTTGCTTGAGCAATCTTTCCCCGGCTAACCTGCTTATCAGCAGTAATGAATACTCATGCAAACAGGTACAAAATTAAATGGCTTCTTTACAGTGATTATGATAGATTGAGCCATGCCTAATCTACATAATCAAATTGCTTCGGTGTTCAGTAGTAATACCTTTTTGCTGTCCTGGGAGCAGGTTCAGCCTTGGTTTCTCTTTTGACAGCTCTCAGAAACACTAACCATGACTGGGAAAGGGGCTACTTGAGACGCAATTACTTAACACAGCTGTATGAGGCCCATCTCCAACTCCGCAATATGGCAAAGCAGGTCCAAACCAAAGGTGTCTCCTTTAGGGAAGGGGAAAACATCTCATAGGACAGATAGGAGAAGAAAGCAAAGTACAAACCAATCTCCTCCAGCTACTATCCATGTACCTAGGCATAACCGGAGTGACCCTCCCAAGACAGATAAAACATCTTCACTCACCCAGCTGCAGTGGGCTACCATCAGTACTGTAATTTCCTTTCCCTATGCATGAGCATCATCTGCTTACACGTTAATGAAACAGAAGAACATATTTTCCAATTTCAAGACCAGATTCACATTTCAAATCAGGCTGGTAAAATCTTGCCAAGGTGCCAGAAAAAGCACGTCACAGGTGTATTACAAAATCCTTGACTTGGGAAAGCAAAGGATTTGGTTCAGGGAAGGTTCTCAAGTGCATCTCTGTCTAGCTCATGTTTATCAGGTCACTCAGGCCAAAAGTGTCCTGAAGCTTTCTCTAGTTTTAAATATTGAGCAATTTTTAGAGTAAAATCAGAAGCAAGAAACAGTTTTCCCCACAAACTATAAATAAGCGGTATTTAAATATTGAACAGCCTATTTACCTTTGTCCAAACACACAGCACCGAAAGCAGCACAGCAAAGGTCTGCTTCCCGATGAACATGCTGCAAGTTTTTTTTTTTTTCCCCAAAGAGTCTAACAAAACTATTAGCCTACAAGCTAGTCCTTATTTCTAAACACGACCTAAGAGTTGGAAAGTGAGTATGCCTGATGCAAAATGTTACAAGCACTTACAGAGAACAGTTCCTCTCCCTTGTTATGGCTTTGACACAGGTGGAAAGAAGGTACTGACGGGACCTCTGCAGCTGGAAAGGGGACAGCTCCAGGAAACAGGGCCCTGCACCTTTGTGAGCAAAGGAAAACCAACGCGGGGTGGGGGGGAGATGTGTTCTGGCAAGGGCTGTTGGTACAGCTTGACTTTGGCTCAGGAGGATGTAAAAGCTTGAATTACATAAAAATAGATTTAAGAAAGAATCAATGACATTTCATCTGAAAGTTTCAGTGAAGTTTTAATTCGGATCTGAGATTTTTGCACTTAAGTGCATGAAGTGAAGGAGTACATGTACTCATGCTTCCCAAGATAACTCACAGTTCTGAAACTTACTCATCTTGAAAGGTTAATTAAAGAACAATCCTTGAGAGCAACATCGCAGGGAAACTGAGCAGGAGCCTGGCGAAAGGCTGGCACGCAGCACCCGCACCAGAAAGACCCCAGGTACCAGACCGGAGCTGCTGCCCAGCGACCCCAGCACAGGGACCAGCCAGGCTGCTCTGAACCACCGCAGCCAGGCATGGGGAACCGCACGCCCACGGCACTATGAAGCAGTTTAAAGCGTGCTCGCTGCAGGGTTGCCAGCCCGTGCCGGGCTCTGCGTGGCTGCCAGGCTGGAGCTGCTTCGGCACATGCACCCTGCGGAGGAGCGGGCACGATCACCGCCAGCGGTGAGAGGTGCAGTAGCTGCTGTAATTAGGAAACTAAGGCAGAGTGACTCACCCAGGATCAAGGTCTGCAATTAAGCCAGAAATAGGCTGCAGGTTCCCCGATTCCCGCAGATGCTGACAGCACCATGAGGCAAAGTTCATCTGAACATCATTAAAAAACATGTTGGCTGTTAGGGAAGCCTGTACATGCGAAGCTGAGTTGAAAAAACTTTATGCCAAATTAAGGAAAAGTTATTAAAATGGAGAATAAAAGAGTTCCGTCGTTTCAGCAAGACTTTCTGGACACAAGTGACCTTTGGCTGCGCAGTAATTTAATTTCCTAAGAACATGAGCAAAGTCTCAATTAGGTCAGAGGACCACTGTGCTGGTACAAGAGGGAAGAGAAATGTGCGGCTGCATCGGTGAAGAGCCCTTCTTGTCTCGGAGGGGCTGGAGATACGGTGCAAGAAGGCATCAAGGCCTCTCGGCAAAAGCAAGTGAGTCTGCTTGCTCGGTATGTAAAGCAGGAGGGCACGCACCACAGGCAGAGGTAAAGCGCAGAAGCAAAACGCTCAGCCGGTGGCTCTCGGATCACAGGCAGCTTTTTGCTGCCTTCTTTACAAACGAGAGCCAGGTACTGCAGCTGCCATGGGAGAAACGGGCTAATTTAGCAGCCGCCCAGGGAAAAGCGGAGGAATGATGGAAAAATAAAAATGATCAGGACAGCGACAGATTCTGAACGCTGCTTAATGGAGTGAAGCCTGAACGTTATTTGGCATAATCTTGATGGGCCTGATTTAACTATTACATTTTTGCACGATATTTTTCATATCGGTTATGACGAATTGCTTAAGAGCCCTTGGTGACTGCTCAAAAGTGTCTCAGTCGCTTCAGCAGAAGGTCTATCGGAGTAAAGCACATTAACCAGAGAAAAGGCTGAGAAGGAGCAGATAGGAACAGAAGTGACAACAGGGGTGAGGCATCACTGTTGGTATCTGCTGCCTGTACAAAAGCTGCCCTGGAGGTCAGGACAACCCACCACAGCAACACTGCAGTGAAGGCAGTTCAGGGGAGGGCATTTCTGGACACACAGGCTCTCGCAGCACATTTTCAGCCAGCAGAAAGATGGATGACACAATTTATAACATCCACTCTTCATCTGAGACACGACAGCTGTGTACATCAAATCCTCCCAACCCCCCAGCCAGAACGAAGCTGGTGACCCTACACCACTTAGCCTCATGCCCACCATTCAACCGCAACAGCCCACTTGTTACTTTTAAATCAAAAGTGCAACTTCAGATGCTCAGGTTTATTTCTATTTTGATTCAGAAGTGCTTATCTGAAGTAAGTTTATGCCAGTGACAACTGAATCACAGTTGTGGGGGCAGTTTCTTCATATGAAAACAGACTGGTAGACCTTACCCTTCCAAACCACTATCCGTGTGAATGCAATGTCTCCGGACATCAATTAGGCTACGTTCCACTTCAGCTACTTGGAAGACTGTGTTTAGTATGAGCTCCCCTCCTCCTCCTCCCGACAAGCCCATTAAGTATCTGACCTGCAAACCCTTGTGCATACAAAAGTTACTTGCTCAAGTTTCTTTTTCTATGCAAGGTTTTCAAAAGCACTCTGAATTTAAAAGCAGCATTCTGTTCTCCAGAGCAGCCTCGTGCTGAAAGGCCACCCTCACAAAAGCTGCGTCAGGCCTGCCTGCAGCATTAGCACACATGCTACGTATCTGAATTCAGTGTCACTGGAACAGTTGCCGAGGTGACCGCAGCCTGGGCTTGCCTCCTTTACACATCTACTCGTCGAAACACAGGGGCTGTATTTCAATGAGCGAGCCCATACAGACACAGTAACATTGAGATAAAGCATCTGCAGGTGCCTTCATTAAAGTCACAAAAGAAACCTGCTAATGCACCTACAAAAAAACATCACGTGCCAGAAATACAACGCTGCTTTTGGGATTTCTGATGCCAGAGAAATTCAAACACCCTGGTAGAAAAGTTAAGAGCACAGCAGTCCCTTCTCCTCCAGCACCTCCCAGTGTTTCAGTCACGCTGCAGATCTCCACGTTCTCACCCCGATCTGCAATACCCATAAACAGGAAAATACCAAGCGTGGTCAAACGCCCAGTAATTCCGGAAGGAAGCAGGGGGCATTCCTTCGCACCCGGTTGGGTGCCTGAGCAGAAAGCTTACCCCATCTGGTAGTGCTCTCCAGCATACAGCACTCACAAACTCATTTGTGTCATCTTCTTTCCGGTCCTTATCCAGGACGCTTTTGACTGTATCAAACTTGAATGTCAGCAGTGTCTTTGAGAGGCCCTTATAGTATAGGTACAGGGAATTATTTTCACTTCCTAGAAATATAAAAATAAATACACAAAGATTAGGTTCTGGTAGCAGGCACAGAAATAAGGCTTCTTAGCTCTTTCATTGAGACGAGACCAGACATCTCCTCCTTGCTGTTATCATCACGCTCCTGATGCCTTAGCAGCTGGAAGTGCTCCACAGCAAACTTCCACGATGCTTAATAACAGAACCAGGTTTTATTACAAGACAGCCACAGCATCCAGCGCACTTGCAGAACATACAGGATGCCAGCTGTCCCCCATAACTTCCTTAGGGCAGAGCAGAGCATCTACGCTACCACACGAAACACTGCACACCCAGCCTGCTCGGCGTTACAGCTCTGAGGCAGGTAGCACTGTCACAGCTTTGCTTGCCGTAATCAAGTACGACAGTTTGGTCTGTGGAGGTTTAAGTGAGAGAGACTAGAAGTGTGCAGGCTTTATTTAGAAATCCATCACAATTTCTGCCTTGCAAGCTGTACAGACATCAGAGTACACACAAGCTAAGGTCCTCCCTTCAGTGCTGGCACAGCTGTCCTGCTCACCCCTCAGCAATCAGCCTGTCACTGCTTTCCCACCAAGACCTGTGGATTTACCGAGGTTCTACAGTCCAGCTTAAGCGGGGAAAAGAGACAGAAATTGCCAATGGGGTAACTGCTTCAGGATGATTGAGTCTTCTGGGGAGCTGCCCACAATGAGGGCACCAGTGCTTCGCCACGCAGGATGCCACGCCAAGCGACGAGCACAGGACCACTTGTGGGGCCCAGGCTACCGCCCTTCCTTAGGAAGATGAGGGAGGATGCATCAGCTGACAAACTTGAAAGCCATAAGGCGTATCAACAAGCAGCTACAAGAGAAGCTGATTTTTGGTGACAGCAAGGCCGAATCATCATAAACAAAGAACTCCTCTGAAACGGGAGGAAACCAAGTACAGACCCCCTTAGGTGAGGCTCCTTACACCATTCCCTGGGAAGCGAAGGAGGGTGTAAGTTTGGAATAACCTACTAGAAAGTCCATGCAGCTACACTGTGCAATTGCTGGTGCATTTTGGGACTGGAGAGGCACCAGCTACGAGGAGTCCCATCAGCATTTGTCACGAAGGCACAGCTGCTCCACTCACCACAGGCGATGTAGTCTCCGTTGGACGCGAGCCCTACAAAATTCTTCTCATTGATGTGACCCTTGAAGGAGCGCAAGCAGTGAGGCTTCCCTACATTCCACAGCTTCAGCTGACTGTCTGTTGACCTGGAAACAACACCTAAAGTTACTCTGCTGCCATACGGCGGGTAATCCTCGCTTGCAGGCCCGCTCCTTAACACCCTACTTGCAACGTAGACGTGGGAAGTCTCAGTGTACTCCGGAGATTTATCCCACTTGCAACCATATGCAACTCAGCTTGAGCTCAGAAAGGTATCACGTTATTTCAGAAGCCTGTCAGAACACATTACATGTTTGAATAAGAAATTTCCCCCAAGTATTACTCTTCCTTTCTCCTATCAGAGTCCTCCACTGAACTGTACAGCCTTTGGGCCATCACTGCCTCCTCCAGATCCTTGCAGATCCAGGACATGCTGAATATTTTAAATTTTTTTTTTTTTTTAAAACTTCTACAGCATGGACAAAATCTGTTCCCTTCTCTGTGCTGGCTACAACTCTCCTGCATGCCTTTGCAGAACTCTGGTAGGAAGCAAGCAGCCTCCTCTCTCTCCAGCTGCCCTGGAAGCATGTTCTTCTCCCCCTGCCCAACACCCAGCAGCAGCACATAAAAACCTGTGAGGGCTCAGAGTTGCTATTAGCATTAAATTGATGTGGTTTTCTCATGTGTAATTGAGACTGCATGGATACAGATTTAACTTCCACTTTTCTCACCTTAGCTGCAAAGCTAAATATTACTATTAAAAAATATATAAACTGTCAGGATTAAATCAAAATTGATAATTTCCATTGTTCTCCCAGATGCAAACAGACCTGCCTTCAAAATGTTTTTCTGTTTACTGTGAGCAAACATTTCCCCTTTGGCAAAAGAACGGAGGTGGAGGCAGTCTCCTCTGCCTGGCAGAGCTCAGCTGAAATAGGAAGCTCCCAAGTTTCTGGGAGACATAGGATTAATTTCTCATCCCAAAACCAGAGGGGTCATGAGCCCCTCACTTCCCAGGCATTATTTTCCAGTGATTGCCAGGCTGTGATCTTCTGGCACTCACAGGCTTACAGTGATACACTCCACAGTAGGTGAAGAAACACTGGCGTGGTGGGACCAGAGCCCCGTGAAGCCAGCCCTGAGCAAACAGGTAGTGCTGCTCCCAAGCTAAATTTGAAAAAGATTGTGAGCAGGACCTGTCAGCCTCTGGGGTAGGAGGAAAGGGAGGCAGGTAACGCTGCCCTCTTACAAGTCACATTGCCCAACCTTGCTGCTTTCTGAATGTTCAGAGCTGAAGGGGAAAAAACCCCACCACCCAATATCCATCAAATATTACCAATAGTATGCCAAATTAGCCCTGCACCAATGTCACATTTGCCTAAAAGTACAGCGCAAAAGAGGAGACATGCACCTCGTGCTATACTGCAAAAACCTTATCTCAGCCCTCAGTGACAGCTGGAATGACAACAGAGCAATAACAGAGCTGCAGCAAGATTTGTTACTCATTTGTAATAACAACAGGAGGTCAGATCAGCATTAAGGTATTTCTGCCCAATGCTTGTTCCACGTCCAGCCCTGCCCTACTCTGCTGCTCACTCTCCCTTCCCTCCTCCCATCCTTACCGTCACAGCAGCAGCGCAGCTCACAGAAAGGACAAAAAGGTATATACCATTAGGCCCACTAGTACAGGGAGATGCCTTCTGTGCTCTGAGGGCAGCCGTACATTCTAAAACTCTGCTTTTAAAAGCTTCAGAGTTGCCTGGGAACTAAACTTTTCTGAAGGCAGGGTAAAGCAGCAAAAGATAATCCCTGGTCTACCAGCTGTCAGATGCCAGTGACAGCTTCTGCTATTAGCTAACCCATCCAGGCGACCTTGTATATATAGGCACTTAACCTCTATATTTTAGTAATGCACACTCTAGATTCCTTCATTAAAATAAAAATACTTAAAGTCTATTACTAATGGAATGCTTTTAGTGTTAACAAATTCCCATCAAGCTCTAGCCATGTTTGCATTGCTTCGGATAAGCCACAAGAGACGACAGTAATCGCAAGGTGAGGGAAAGGCTGTTGATCCTGCTGGTGTTGTACTGCTCTTCTGGTTTCATACCCTCTCCACAAAAATATCATGGATGCACCGCTCTGTTAAATCCGTCTCTCTGTAAATCAGCACTGCAATCAATGTGTTGTGCTAAATACCAGGCAGTTCTGAACACCCCGGAGGTCAAAACCTAACTCTGCAAGGCAAAGTCAATGCAATCTATAAAACAGCTTTAGCTAAAAATCTAGAGAATCTGAATATACATATAATTTTTTCTTAAAAGAAATCAGTGCTTGATTTTTGGGAGTCACTACTGCTGTATCCTCTCCTCATCTTGCAAAAGACAGACATGAAAAATAATCTGCTCTGACATTTCTTCCTGTTCATGCAGAAAAAGAGAGGTGAACCCTCCAGTTAGTCCCCTCACCGTGGTGTTGCCTGTCCAAGGCCGACAGCTCTACCGATATTCCTCCCAAGACTGCGGGACAAGCTTTCTCAGCTGGTTGGCTCAAGCAGGACAGGGCCATTCCATCCTGAAACATCCCATAGATGACCCACTCGACCACAGCTGTAAAACACTCCCAGCCTCCTCCTGCTTCTATTAAACAATTTCTTCTTACCCAAATTTGGTTCAAAGTATCAAATTTAATTTTCTCTGTGTTCTAGGTATGAATTTGCACCCTTATAGAGTTATAAAGTTAATAGAAATAGGAAGAGAGGAGCTGATTAAATATAAGCAGTACCAGAAGCCACCAGGGAATCTTCCATCACACAGCTCGGCTCAGAGTAACTCACTAGCAGCCTGAATACACCTTAAAAAGCTCTGCTCTGGCTCCAGGCTTCCAGAGCAAACCGTGTGAAAATGCAGGACGAAGCCAAGCGGGATAATCGTTGGCTCGGTAGCAGGCAGCAGGCGTACTTTCTGTGAGCAGATCTACCCCTGTGATCCATCCCTCCTGCCCTTGGGTGCTGTGCACAAGCGTGTTGAGATCAAAGCTTTTCCCTGCAACCCCCCAAGGTTGCTTGCATTTTCCCCACCGTGTAAGGTAAACCAGAGGTGAGTCTCTCTAAGAGACTTGTAGTCAGTCACTCCAACCTTTCCCTGGGTGGTCTGACAGGCACGCTCATTCCCACGTGATGGAAAACCTACCTAGAACTGAGGCAGCCACATCTGGCTTTGGGGCAGACACATCTGGCCACGTAACTGGACAGAAGCTGTAGAACATTGTTTTTCAGGGCCTCCATAGCAGACCTCCTGGTCTATCCTGGCTGAAAGGCTGCACGCCGTTAGGACCACGCAACACAACTTCTCCTTGTCTACTTTCTAACCCAAGTATAATCCTAAAAACGGTCTTCACGGAGCAGATTAATAAATTACCAGGGAACAGACCAGTCAGCCCTGCTCCAGCTGCTTTCAGGCTGTGGCTAAACCCCCTCCTCAGACATAGCAGTAGTATTTGATCACTCCTGTCACTCCTCAGCTGTGTTTCACTGCAGGTTACTATCCCCAGGGCTCTGTCAGCAGCCTTCTCTACAGCAGAGCTCTGGTCAGGAGCATCCTCAGCACACACAGCACTTTGGAAAAGCAGAGTTCACCCGCAGCTTCCCCAAGCTGGGGCTTGTGGTCAGGAGCTGCTCCTAGTTGTCTTCGTATTCCTCTTCAGCATTTTAGCTCCACAAGACAGAGCCGAGCCAAGTGACACCAGGAACGAATTTCTATTTTTGCCTTAGAAGAAAAAGCAACGAGCTGCTTCCCAAAAGCACAGCAGCTAGCGCACGCACCCTCCCACGCAGATCAACTTGCACAGCGGCCCTGAAGAGCAGCAGAAAAGCAAGGGCTACAAAGTTTTTAGCCTACATAAAAGGCGATACTTACGCAGAGACAATTTCTTCCCCGCTCACAAATTTTGCGTAGGAGACTGCCTTGCGATGCCCTTTGAACACCATGATCGGCTGCTTAGTGTTGCGAAGATCGTAGTAGTGAACACAGTGATCTGGGGATGAGAAAGAAAACGGGCAAGACTTAATCACGGGAGCTCTAATTGTCAGCTCACAATAAACGCCCCGCCTGCAGCTTCCACATCTCCCTTTCAAGCCTCGCCTAGGATAAGCGCTCTGCACTATAGCAAAGCAGTGTTTCAGCAGACTTCTTAAAACCGCCCCAAAATTCAGTCCGGCAGGGTCCAAGCAGCCTTTCAATGAGTCAGCGAGGGAAAAAGGTGCATCCACGCGTGCGTGCACATACCCCTGTCCTCCCGTAAACCCCACATCGCCCATGTGCAAGCCAGCAGCTGAAAGGACTCTCACCTCTCCTGCCTGCCGCCTTGGCTCCATGCCTGGGCACTCGAATTGCCATTTCTAATTCCCTGCACGCCCTTCTCCTTCCTCAGCCTGTCCTCCCTTGGAAAACTGTTGAAGAACCCTAGGCTAAAAACTCAGTCTTTTTGCTGCTTGGAAAACAGGGATTAAATTTCTCCTGCTTACCCTAAATAGGCAACCTCCATACTTTTGGTTTTTGCTTCTCTCCTTTATTACCAATCAAGAGAGAATTAGCATTTCTGATAATGAGAGAACAGACTAAATTCCAGCTCTTCTTAAGATTTAATTCACAGATGCGCTGCAGTGCTACAACCGCATAAAGAGGATCACGACAGAATTAGCAACACATTTTATTTTCTGCACAACTAAATGTCAGTTCCCAAGAAAACAGAGAAATACGAATATAAAACCCTGTAGACTCAAGCCCCAAACACCCCCAGCGCTCCTTCCAGCTCAACAAGGTTAATAAGCTTCTCCCTTCCCAACTTTCAGCCTTTAACATTGAACTTCACTTAATTATCCCCTGCTATTCTGGAAGTGCAGGGAGGGAAGGCCACACACACGCAAGGAAAGCGAGCCCGACGCCTTTCTCACCAAGCAACCTGCAATACCCAGACGTCAGCTGAAAGCTGCTCTGACCCTCCTCCCACTGAAAAAACACCCCTCTGATGGGAGTTTATCACCCAGATTACACGGGAATGAATTAAAACGCCAATAGCCACGGTTATTTTTGTATTTGCGCAGCATTTCAAAGCAAGGCTCTCAGCCGTAGAAACACCACTCAGCTGTCTCCAAATCCCATGTGGTTTGAGAGATAACTGGATTTACATCGATCAGGGGACAGCAGCCACCATCAGACCGGCAAGGGTAGCTTCTCCCCGGATTAACGGGCTAACTGGTTATCAGCAGGACAGGGGCTGTATCAGAAACACCCTCAGTAAAACAAGGCAAGCAGGCAAGTCGCCTTCCTCTTCAGGTGCTTCCAGCAGCTTGCTCTCTGCACAGGGTGGGATCAGAGGCTTTTCCAGTAAGCAGTTCCCAGCTCTCTCCCTCCTCACTGTGTAAAAGCGGATGCTCCAAGCAGCCACGCCGAGTTTTCTCCACCACTCCCAGCAAAATGTTGAAGGACCCCATGGCGCTGAAACCCAGCGGCCACTGTACCCATTACTGCCGGCACTGAAATGTCGGGAAGTGCTGTACCCCCAAACGCTCCTGATTCCTCCACCTCTAAAATATTAACCCTCCAAGCAGCCAATGCTCATCAACCAGAATCCCAGCACCTTCCTACCATTTGGGTATTTTAAGTAGCTTTAGAAGAAGATGATGTTGCAACAGGCCTATTCAATAAATGGGTTAATTTTCAAAGGGACTTTGAATTAAGCATTAACACTTCTTTAATGATATTTGGGCTTCCTGGTCCCTTCCACCTCTGTGAAAGCTTGAGCTGAAGAACTCCATGTTTTCTCATCATACCTGCTGCAGAAGCTACGAAACAATTAACTGGCAACGGTTATTTTAATGAGCAGAATGATTCTAGCAGGACTTTCTGTTAGAAGCCAGTTAGTGGATAAGCCTTTCAAGCCTGTTTTTGCTCACAGTTTCAATCTCCTCTCCAGCTGGCCCATCATTAGGATACCTTTTGAGCACCAGATTTTTGCCTTCAGAAGGTGTCAGGGAAAAGGGTACCTGCAGATGGCTGCATGTCAGCAGCTGGAGCAATGCGGAGAGGGAAGAGCTAGAGCACGAAAGGCAAGTTCATTTGCAGAGCAGCGACACGAAGTTGCATTCACCTTCTAAATATCACCACAAACAGCTCGAAGCCTGCTGGCATCTGGCCCCAGCATCGCGTGTGCCTCCCAGCGTCGTCAGGGCAATCAATCACTGTCCGCTCTGATCACAGAGAGTCCGAGGGAATGGACAATGCCAGCGGGTTCTAAAATTAGCCACTTAATTATTAATTGATTATTTCAGCAGCCAAAGTGTTGGTGCCCAATTGAGGTTTTTTTTAAATTCAATTGAAGCAGCTATTTTTAAGTAGATATATGAAGACAAACACTGGCTGCATTCATTAAAAGCCAAACAGGTGGTCATGTTTTACAATTAAAGAGATACTCTCTTGTAGGCCATATGGACTTTCTGAAAACATGATAAAAATGCCATCTGCTGAGGAAGCAGAGCGCCCAAAAATGAAGCTAAATGAGGAAAATACAACTCCCAGGTACCCCAGCAGCAGCCCTGCCTGGTGGAGTTGGATAAGTTGAAATTGTCCGTGAGCGGCAGCATCCCGATCACACCAGCACGTCTAAGGCTAAGCGCTCTGCAAAGCTCAGGAAACAAATTAATCCTGCAAGTCAGCTGAAGGTAAGGAAAACAGAGTGGGCATTAAGGGGAATCGAACAGTTCCTGAACTCTGCAACAGCCTGTAAGCTCATCCAGCATCCCACCGCTGGCTCCTGCCCTTGGCACCCCTGGAAAGTCACGGAGCACGCTCCATCGCTAACCAGGGATGCACAGGGGTATTTGCTTCTTGGGAAACAGTCACTCAGCAATTTGTTTTGCAGCTCTACAGTTTGCACTCTGACCAGAAAACTCACTTAGAACAACTTCAACTTGGAAATGACATTGCCACAGTTAAAAGCCTCTTGCTTAACTCTATTTTTTGCCTCTGCTTTACTTCTATTTCTGCTTTCAGGCTTAACTGAAATATATCTGAGATAATGGGAAAGAACATGGATATATACCATAGCAAATTAAACACTCTGGAGCAATTCTCGTCCCGTTCAATGTCACTGCAGAAGCTGAGCACGACGGAAATCTGCTGCTGTGACTTCATCCAAATGTTTGCTGGCAGGCAATATACATTATTTTTAAGTGATCTCAGAAGGCAAAAAGGGCAGCTAAGCTCTGCCACCACTGCTGAGAGGTCTCCAACCACAAGCTCGATTTTTTTTAAATAGTGCTTTTCTGAAACACTCCAGATCTGCTTACTTCCCTTAAGACGCCGCAGCTTTCACCTTTGAGCCGTCTAGTGAAAAGTCATCAAGAATTCAGAGACTTTTCCAAACTTCCGAAAGCTCTCACTCCCTCTTCAGTAAATCAGACTCGCAGCAGCAAAGGATGGCATCCCTTGTAGCTTGACTGCTCATAAACTCACAGGGCTCCAGCTGGCAGGAGCAGAGCAAAATAGAAGGGTGGTTTTGTGATGTGGGAAGGAAAGCAATCAGCACCTCCTCGGACTCCGCTCAGTTGCAAGGATAGGGACACAGCAAACAACCTGATGATGTGGTTACGTGATCTTAGGAAATCAGGTTAAAATCTTCTAAAAGGGAGCTGGTAATTGCTAGTGGAGCCACCAGCATCTTAGGTAATTTCAAAGTTGTTCAGAAAGATGGAATTACTCTTGGATTTTTGGTTGTTTAAACAAGAAAGGCAAAGTCTGTTTTTGCCAAAAGTGATTTTCCTTGCACTTAGATTTGTTAATAAAATTCACAGTACAGCTGTTACTAGCAGGCTTTAGACTCACATCACCTATTGCAAAGCTCTTAATGCGTACCAACAAACAGCAGCTCCAGAAAGAGTAGACAAGGGTGGGGAAAGAACATCACAGAGCAGCAGTTTGCTTTTCACTGAGTACCAGTACTCGGTACTGAGCGAGGGTAGCAACGCACACAATGCAACGAGCGGAGTGATTTAACTCTGCAGGCACCCGGCAATTCTCAGTAACATTCATTTTCCAGGTCATGTGCTTCACCCACCTTCAGCACAAACATTAACCAGTCGACAGCACGAACTAACCCACAGATTCCCCCCCCCCAACCTCTTACTTGAAGGGATATCAAGGCAAGGACGGCAACAGAAAGCTTTCCCTGCAATGCAACAGTTTTATATTCAAGCGATGTAACTACTAGCAAGCCTCAAGAGCTGCATACAAAGCTTCTGTGGCTCTCCTCTGGAAAACAGAATTGCTGGAGAATCAATGACCATTTTTCTTATTTCAGTCATTTCAAAATGCACAGTTCTCAGCTGTTCAATATTTAGATTATTGATCCATTAAAAAAATAAGTTATTTACATTACTCGGATTTTTCACTGCTTATAGACTTGAGACTATAAACGATGCTCGCTGCCACACATCAGCTGAATGTTACAGCCAAGATGACGCCCGTATTCAAAGCCAAAGTTGCAGGGTAGGGAGACAGATCTTAATTAAATGGTCAGTTGCAAGTTTTCTGTTACCAAAGCACATGCTGGACATTTTTTTAATTAGAGATCTCCAATCCCAAACTTAGGGGTGAAATTCATTTCATATATTAATGCCCTGGCTACAGCATGCAGTCCTGCATGTCCCATGCTACAGACGTTTTACTGACGCTGAAGCCCAGGCCAGAGCATAACTTTGAATGTGTTTCTCTGGTTGTTCTTTGACCTTGATGGTCTGATTTGTTGCATCTAGTAAGTAACTCGCCTCCCCAGCTGATGATTCCCTCCACTTCATTATTTGTTTTCCTCCATATGAGCTTCCAGCTTGGATCAAGGCTGCCTGTTTTCACTGGTGAAGTTCTGTGCATCAGCAGCAAGAGACATTTCTAGACCGAGGGGTGTATTTACATGACTTGTTCAGCAAGATGTAAACTGAGTCAGAGCAAATTTGGTGCAAGACACCTCTGCTTGCCTCC